ACGCGGGCGCGTATCGCATGGTAATGCGCCGCGCTGTCAAAGCGGCGGCGGGGGCGGCGATGACGGACGGCGGAGCGCGCACGCGCGACGCCGCGGTTCCCCTCCGCCGGCGCCGCCGAGGCTGCGAGCGAAACCTCTTTAAAACGACCACCTGATTAATACGTTAAAATTGGGTTTGTTGACAGGTCCGTTCTTTAAAAAATATTTAATTCTAAATTTTTCAAAAAATAAAAATTTTAAAACCGCATAAAAATTGGTGTATGTTTAAGCTATACACCAAAATTTGACATAACGGTGTGATGTGTGGCGCATTATGGCTAATATTGCGAGCGAAACCTAATATGCGAGCGAAACCTCTTTAAAACGACCACGTGATTAATACGTTAAAATTGGTCTTGTTGACTGGTCCGTGTCAACGCAGGGGCCCCAAGAGCCCAGTCCCAGAGCCTCCCAATGTTTAAGGGCCACCGAACGCTCTTTAAAAAATATTTAATTCTAAATTTTTCAAAAAAATAAAATTTTTAAAACCGTATAAAAATTAGTGTATGTTTAAGCTATACGCCAAAATTTGACATAACAGTGTGATGTGTGAGGCATTATGGCTAATATTTATAATATGAAATTTGGTAGTCGATGCGAGAATATCAGGGATGAGAATTTTAGTTTTTTAAAACCAACTTGGCTCTAGATTGTTTGTGGGTTGGAGATAGGTGAAAGTAAGAATAGGAAACCCCCAAATTAACATAACCCCAAAGACCCCCAAAGCTGTTAAAACGGTCCTGCTTTTAGATGGGTGGTCTTCTTAAAGGGAACATCGCACTATTTAATTGCACTCATCGCTGCTACTATCACGATAGGCATCGCAACACTATTCTGGTTTCAAATGAAAGCATGGAATTACTTTCATCAACTGTATTATTCTTTTTGTGATCATATTAATTATGAAATACAGTGTACTTTAGGAATTGCCCATCTTTAGATAATACGTTGTTGACATAAGAATTCTTCTGATTATCGCAATCCAATGGTTTATTTAGATTCTGTGCAATTATCTTTCAACTTTATGACGGGATAGTTTCTCTACATTTCCTGGACGGCCTCTTTCCAATTGTCTTGAAATCTCATGCGCCCTATCGCTTTGCCTAAGTTGAAAGAAAATAAGTTTTTGCTTATTGAAATGAGAATAATGATGTAAAACAATTGTTGTTCATTACTTACTGGAATATGGTAATAACTTCATTATATTTATTTATCTCACGAATAAATTCTGAAAAGAAGTGAGTCTTAATTGTTTTAGTGGTAAATATTGGCATCTCGTTTCACTTACTGCAATTTGCACAAAGTGCAAATATATTTCTTTATTTATGAGGTATTTAGTGTTATTTATTTTTATTTATTTCAGAAACTGTAACTATGTGACTCTATGAGAGAACAAAATCTACAATCACCGAAGCCAAAGGAGGAACCATTTCAGCTTTTGCTCTGTGAATAAACAACACGATGGAGATGGGAGTAATATAAGAACATCCACAACTTTTGACAATTTACGTCGTTCGATATGCCCACCGCCATCGTTTGCGATCGTCCTCTGTCTTTGAGTTATTACCATCCTTGATTATTCAAAAGTTCGCAATACCAAACTTTATGGCTCATTGCTGTAAATTCTAAAGCAACACATTATATTCTATGTGAAGAAACATTGTGCCAGCAGACGTTCTGGGAAGTACAGTTGGTCATGCGATAGTTGCCCGAGCAAATGAGAAGCACATGAGGAATGTATGCGTCACAGAGTAAAGCAACCTTTGACCTGGAAGAAACATATTTCCTCTCTTTGTATGCGCAATTTGGCACATGCGTATTCTGCGTCGAAGATATGGTATTAATCTCTTAAATGTGAAGATTTGCTGACGAGGAATCCAAACTTATGCTCGAAATATTCCTGGAAGTATGCAGCTGTACACGTGAAATACTCAAACACTAGAAAAGTCCCAGCCGGAAGATGCCACTTACTTCTACAACCATTTCAAATTGCAAGAGCTTCTTCTGCATACAAAATTAAGAAATATGATGAATGTGTTTCGAGGAACCGTAATGAATACTTCCAAGAAATCCTTTCAAATCATCTTTGTTAGTGAATCAGAATGGGAGGCGTTCAAAGTGATACTCTGACAAAAAAAAAATGAGTACATTCGAGAGAAAATGTAAAATTTACTGGTGCAGATTCTCATGTAACTCCCAAGCAATGACATTCAGCAATATTACAAATGCTACGAAAAATTTGAGCAATGATCAGCTCAACATACTTAATGAAGTTTTCTATTAATCCGTAATAGAAACTTCATAACTTTTGGTAATTACTAATAATAAATGTTACTACAATATTTGGATAATTTTTTGTTGAATATTTATTATGTATGGGTTGGCAGTATTACATATATTCAATTTTTTTCTTATGGAAGATTAGCTTCTTTGGGTATAATTATTCCCGATCGATACCGGACGTTTGTACACCTTCAGTATCTATATCAATATCTTTTTTTAATGGCTTAGGTGGCTCAGAGCACTAATTAATGTTACTGCAGTGGCTCTGACCGCGGGGTCCTAGGGTTCGAGTCCCGACGGTGGTGGCAGAATGTTTGACGCTAGCAAGGTAGCTAGGTTGAATTCAGTCGCTGTGTGGGAGAGAATTACCGCGACCGGTTGCTCTGATCCGTAGTTTTGCATGGTTTCTTCTATAAACGCCAGGAAAATGCTGGAGCAGTACCCGAACAAATGGGCCGCGAACCGAGCGCGATCTATCCTTCTCTTTCTTGATCTGCACTACCCTTTATTTTCACTCATTTACACTTACATTCACTACTCTACCACACTGACGGGAGACAAGTATGGAGCTTAGATCTTGTTCCGTTTGGGGCGATGTCTTGCTGGTGGGAGATGCGTGGTTGGGTAACCCCGCAAGCCAGCGAGTAGATCGGCGCCCGATCTCGTCATCCAGTGGGGGAAGATCACCACCACCGCTCGCAATAAAAACCTGCACTACACTTATGGGGTTAACGACACTAGCAGTTGCCACGCCGGGAATCGGTATCATACCAACAACTTTTTTAATACGACACTTTTGTTTGATCTGTCAGATGTTTTAAATGTCCACTCACAAAGTCAAGTTTTAATTAATTTATTCATTGAATTTTAGGAGCTTTCTAACTGCTAAAGTCACATCACAAAGTAACTGATGATCTAATGGGATGATAGAGATGTTGACGATGATGAGGTGAGTGATGACGGAGGAACGATAGGCAGGGGAAACGCAAAACCCTTAGGAAATCTGTTCAGAAATCGGTTTATCCCCACAAATTCCATGTGGGTGTGTCCTGGTATCGGAGACAGACCCCAGGGATTGAATGCAAGCCATTACGCCACGGTATCTCCGCTGACTTTAAAATGAGTGCAGGATTAATGTTGAAAGAGTCGACTTCCGCGACCGACCGGAGTCAATAAATACTTGACTTCGTGAAATGGATTGGCAAAAACTGTTTAGCCGAAATGCGAGGATTCTTGTAATGACTATTCGCCCTGAGGAAAGCCGCGGTATGATGACCGGTACTTTGTCTACGACGAGGCATCCCCCAGACAGCCAGGGAGCTTCGGTTAATACTGTTCCTAGAACGAATAGTATTTTGATCATTTGAAATTTAATATCTATTAACCTGTAATATACTTCGATTTTTCTATAGTGGCCGGTGACATTAGGTCATTGTTACAACTCCGGCCGGTGATAAGCACAGTTCTGAGGCCACGAGCCCCGTTGAGATGGACGTTTGCGAATTAATTAAAAATATTTTGTAATGTAGGAGGTATAAAAATGATCTAATGCCATCAGCCACTACAGAAAAATAGAGGTATAATTCTGCATTAATA